ATGTTTTAAGGATTAAAAGGTTAATTGGTGTGAAATGACAGAGAAAGTGGAAAATAATGAGTACTATAGAAAATCAGAGAAAATGGAAAACAGTGAGGACTAGGAGATCATTGGTGAGTTTTAAGAGTCAAGTATTCAGGGAAGAAAGGGCAGCATTCAAGGATTAATACAGAGGTCACAAACTGCAGCCCAGATTTATATTTTGTTTGGCTAATATAAACTCATGGTATTTTTAAAAATATATAGTTGTTGTTTTCAAAGAACAACGTTTCAACAAATTAATGATCTAATTGGTTTTTATTGGTGATTTGTGAATCAGGCAGCATCTCATCTATGAAATAGAAAGGTGCTCTGATGAGCTGAGCAGAGGCGGATAGCCCTATAAGCAGAAAAGGGCCAAAGAAAGCAGAAATAAGGAACAAAAAGCAGACTGATCATTTAAAAGTACTCTCCTTATATGGTTAAAATGAAGAGGACTTTCATATGATGACTCAGGTAGACTGGGCCCCTTCTATTGGTTGCTGTGACCCTCCTGATTTTTAAGAAAACTGGCCAGTTTTAAACTTCAGTTTGATTATGTGACACCTAACATGAGTGACTCCATTCTGGTTTGGTCTGGTATGTTTGGGTCTAGTGCATGAGCTTACTCCAAAACAACGGTTTTTCGTAAACTGTTTCACATTGTCAACATTTAAAAATCAAAGTATTTCTCATAAAAGTTTAGACTTCCAAGTTCTCTTGAAAATTCTGAACATCTAGTAACACTGGATCTGGCTTTCCTCATTGCAGCAAATGCCTGGAAGTGACTAGAGACTGCACCTGTTAGACAGGGCACACATTGTCCGTTTTGCCAAGAACTATCCATCTCTTCCCAAATACGTCTTTTACTTGGCTCACTTGCAATAATTTAACATTTGTCATCTAGATCAATGGTTTTCAAACTAGCATGTGTCAAAATCACATGGAGAGCTTGTCAAAACCCAGACTATAGGGCCCCGCCCCTGTTGTTTCTGATTCAATATGTCCAGCAGTTTATCTTTCTAATAAATCACTGATGCTGCTGGTCTGGGGATCACAATTTGAAAGGATGATGGGCAGTAAGAAAGTGGTTCAGGAGTTTAGTATAGTATTTAGGTTCACAGGCCTTTCATTCAGACAGAACTAGATTCTATTTTATCACCCAGGAAATAAGGATGATATTGTACTTCATAGGGTGTTTTCTTTTAATCTAAATGGGATAATGCATACATATAAAATGCGTATCAATATCCTTGAAGCAAGACGTAGCATATTGTAATTTTTCATTAAATGATTCTATTGTACTGTTATTGCTATTATTACTACTATTATGTTCTTCAAGAATATTGATTCCAGGGAGGAGAAAGTCAGAGATAGATTACTAGTTTTGGAGCAATAAAGGGTCTTTTTTTAAAAATTAACAAAATATAGAAATACAGAAGAAAATTACTTTTTCCATGAGATCAAAACTGACGGCAAGTTACCAGGAGAAGGAGTAATGGTGGGAATATAAAGGCTTATCAAGAGCCAATTAAGAGATTGAGATTGAGTGTTTTGTATATATTTAGGAAATACACGTGGGACAACATCTTGTATGAGGTAGGAAAGTTGTAGCTTGGATCTTCAGCTACGCTAAACTCCTGAACCACTTTCTTACTGCCCACTCACCCTTTCAGTTGTGATTCCCAGACCAGCAGCATCAGCATAACCCAGAGATTTGTTAGAAAGATGAACTCTTAGACCTACTGAATCAGACATAGGAGGGACTGGGCACTATAGACTGTGTTTTGATAAGCTCTTCAGGTGATTCTGACACATGCTAGTTTGAAAACCACTGATCTAGATGACAAATGTTAAGTTATTACAAGTGAGCTAGGTATAAGGACACATCACTTCAAAATGTGACTTTAGGAGACCAGAATGCCACTCCCAAATATTCCTCTTTGGCATATTGATTATTTCAAGCTGGTTATTCTGAGAAACTGCAGACACTGGAGTAGTTCTGAAAAACTCTCTTTTGTAAAAGAAATTTATATCTGTAAAGGAGATTTTCATTAGTAGAGGTATCTGTATCGGGAAGAGAACTGCTCTGAGACAACTTTTATCAGTTGAAAGTTTTTTTATCTGCATAACTAGCTAACTTTTATGCACCATACATTTCTTTCCCTCACCCTACCAACATTTGACTCTACCACCTCCAAAACCCCAAGCCCTTATTCATTTCTGTAGCTCAGGATGCTATATAAGTTTCAATCATCTGGCCCTTCTTTGAATCTTATATTTTTGGGGGACTTCTGTGCATACACAGGTATGAATGTAATTAAAATAGTTTTTCTCCTGTTAATCTGCCTTATGTCAATTTAATTTGTAGCTCAGCCAAGGAATGTAGGAGGGTGGAGGGAGGCTATTTTTCCCTCTCCTATAATCCAAAGAACTCAACCCAACTGTGGGATGTTTGATAAGGAGGAAGACCTTATGTGATGGGTGGCATTATCTCCATATTTTCAATGATGATAGTCATAGAGTTTAAATATTTCTCCAATACACACAGCTAGTAGGTGGAAGTAAAAGAATTCTTACTCATTTCTCTCTTACTCTAAACCCCATGCTCTTTTCTTCTGAGCATTATGCCTTTCAAGTCCACACTGCTTTCTACTAGATTGAACACTCCTGCTTGCCTAGATAACCTCCCTTTTCTTCAGCATTATTTCAATGTCATATCTTTCAGGAAGCCTTCTCTGATTTCATGGTCTGATAAAGATGCTACACTTATACTTTATTACTGCAATTAACACATTGTGTTACAAATTACATATTTTTATATTTCTATCTCCTGTCAGAGTTCCTTGGAGGACACACAGTCCATATTAATGTCTCTCTATCTCCAGAGATGAATAAATATTTATTTAATAATTAAATTTAATATTAATAATTTAATTAAAAAGATTAAATTAGATAAATAAATGAATGCATAAATAGATGAATAGATAAACAGTGAACAAAGGCTCTGATCTTGCTAAGAGAAATACAAAGCTCAACTACCTGAGGATACCCAGGTGGCCTCAGTCTCAGGTACAGTCTTTTACTTTGTCCTTAATCTATGATGGTGGATGTGCTCCATGTTCAGTATGATGATGGATCCAGGGTACAGTGGTGGCAGTGCGGGCTCAATCAGCATCTTGATTCTGGTAGGTCTCATCAGAAGTCTGGTTCTTACTGAGGGCATCTACGTGAGTGATACAGTCAGATTGGCAGCCCCAATTTGTTTCCATAGTTTGTGACCCCAAAGAAGGGTTGTTCCAAAAAGGCAGCACAAAATAAAGAACTCTATGTTCTGATGCAGAGGCTACCTGGGTATCCCCAGGTGGTTTAGCCAGACATTCCTCTTAGCCAGATCAGAGCTCTTTTCTGTTTGTTCATCTATCTATGCATCCATTTATTCATCTAATTTAATCTTATTTTTTCATTTATTAAACAAATATTTATTTATTTCTGGGTATTGAAAAACAGTAACTACTTCTGGAGTCTTCACAGAAATGAATAAAAAAGAAAAGGAAAAAAAATCAACAGTAAGACATCCTGCTTATGCTCCAAGAAACTGTAATAGGACAGATTATACACACATTTGTGTGTGTATAAATATATAATTTATAATACAATGTGTTAATCACAATGTTAGATGTAAACTATGGGAGTAGAAAAGAGGAACATCCATTAATAAAATAAATTGGAATTAGAGAAATCTTGGTTTCTACTCGCTGTGTTTGCAAATTTCTCTTCTTTCACAATCAGTGCAGGTACATGTCTCTATAGCTATTGATTGAGAAGGGGCAGGCATTTCTGCTCACCCAGAATGAATCCTGGGAGCTGAGACTGACTGGTAGATTAGTAAGGAAGTCCTCCCACTCAAAGAAGAGTTAGTGAAAACACTTTTGGAGCTGTCTTTGAGTCTATTTCCCAGTCCTCAGCCTGCAACCAGTTTAGGAATTTCTTCTCATTAGTAGGCATTAAAATGAAGGATCATTATGTGGTTGAACATACAGTATAGTCATCATGTTTGCTACCAATTCCCAAAGATGTCCCACACATCCATTTTATCAGCCCACAACTCTCTCTAGCCCTTTCTCTTCCAGAAAGCCATGGTTCTGTCAGCATTCTGTACTTGTGACTGCCAAGAACTGTGACAGATCTAAGATTTTACCCTACTGTCAAGCTGAGAAGTTAGCCTGGCACAGTTTCACAGATGCTGCCAGAAGATTCCTAGGACAAAGACGAAGGACTTTATCACTTGCAATAAGAGCAGTGGTTAACATTTTATTGTACTAGTTACTCAAGACCCAGTTCCTATAAGACAAGGCAAAGATGGCTATTTAATACATTCACATGCAGTGGGTCATGTTATAGGTTACATTCCTTCAGTTTAGGGAACACATATCTTTTATAATCATCAGTTAGCAAACCTACCCTTTGCTCTGGAAGTAGATATTATTTCTGTCATCCAAACCTGCAGTTATAAAAATGCTTTAAAAGGATAGTCCAGAACAAAGGGAGTCAGTGCTTCTGCTAGTTCTGAGAGCTCCAACAGCACCATAAAGTAAAGATTTCTGTTAAGTATGAGAAATTACAAAAGATGAAATCGACCCTACTATCTTTACCTTTCCATTAACCATGCTCAGTTTTTACCACATCATCAATTTACTATTGAATAATCCAAGTTCAACATTCCCTGGTGAACAGCTTTGAAATTTAAAAACTTGCTTTTGAATAACTTGTATCATTTTATGTTTTCTCTTTGGAAGCAATATAAAAATGGGTTAGATTGTGAATTCATATTCTAAAACTGACATAAACAACATCTAGTATTTATTCAGGCCTAATGTATTTTACTATGTATGTAAAAAGTTTGAAAACAATATACATTGCAGAAAACAAATAAGAAGTATTGATTTAAGCAGGTTTTTTGTTTTTTTTTTCTTGTTTAGCTTACAGGTTGCAGTGGACCAAATGCAAATGCTTCATGTATTGAGCAAAATAAAGAAAATCAGTGTTTTGAAAACGAAACTGATGAAAAGACAAGTGTAAGTGTTAAGAGTATCTTCTTTGTTTCTATGCTTAATGGGCAAGATTTGTCTTCTTTCCAGTGGATACTGCTTCTAGTGATGATCAAGTAAAAAAATAACTGTATAACCTAATTTCTGGCTTTGGCCTGGTCAGCATGCTGAGTTCTCTTGTTCCTGAGCTGACACTAAATGTGTATTATTTTGAGTAGTTGTGTGTTTCATTTTGGGATCTGTGTTTTAGTGCATGGCCTTAGGTGACCACACAAACATTTTGAAAGCTATTTCACTTCTCTCTGTTTGAAAAATATTTTTGTTTAACATAGATGGTGTTATTTAAACTATTTAAGACAGTTAGAATACGCTAAATGTGCTTCCAGGGAAGGAAGTCATCTAATTTGGCAATGGTACTGTTTTTTTCCATAATGGGAGAGGGAAGGTGGACATCTATGCTGGACTCTTGAATACTTAGAAAACAAATTTTTGAACTTCCTGGATGTTTACAAGGATAGTTGTATTTTTGCTTCCTGAATATGAAGTCATCAGGCCTAGGTGGGATAAAAATGTGTCAACTTTTCAGGTAACTAAATGAAATAAATGCTGAAAAATATATAAAAGAATCTTTTTTATTTTCATCATAGGAAAGTATATTGCTAGCCTAAGCTACTTAACTCTAAAAGCCTCACTTTCTTTATCTTAAAGTGCACTTAAGAGATTTTAATGAAATTGTAAATATGAACATGTTTAGTACTGCCTGACAAATAGTAGCTTTTCATTCTATTGAAATGAATTGCAAGTTTTACATTTATTTTATTTTTTGGAGACAGAGTCTCACTCTGTTCCCCGGGCTAGAGTGCCATGGCATCAGTCTACCTCACAGCAGCCTCAAACTCCTGGGCTTAAGCAATTCTCCTGCCTCAAATTCCAAGTAGCTGGGACTACAGGCATGTGCCACCATGCCCAGTTAATGTGTGTGTGTATGTGTATGTGTGTGTGTGTATATATATACACATATATATACACACATACACATATATATATTAGTCCTAGGATTACAGGCATGTAATATATATACATGTATATATAATACATGTAATATTATTATACATGTATAATAATACATGTATAACATTAATAGTATAATACATGTAATACATATACATGTAATTATATATACATGTAATATATACACACATATATATTAGTGCTAGGATTACAGCACTATATATATTAGTGCTAGGATTACAGGCATGAGCCACTGTGCCTAGTCACATTTATTTTATTAGAATTTAGAAAATAAAAATAAAGATATCATTGAGAAATTTAGACCTTTATTGATGAAGAAACATATTACATTTAATGTGGTTTCTTTCTTTATTTTTATTTTATTCTTATTTCCTTTGAACAATTATAAGTAATTGGGAGTATGTTTCAGGGGCATTTTCTGTGTTTAAATAAACCTAATATGCAAAAGGTAAAGCTTAGAGATTTGATATTCCAGAATTATAGTCAGAAACAATGAGGATTTTTAATCAGCTCATGGAGAAAGGAGAGAACTTAAAGAAGTAATTGACAGGACTTGGTGACTAAGTATATTGAGAGTTGGGTGGTACCAGTACAAAAAATGAGGGAGGAAAGATGATTAAGTGGTAAATAGAGTAAATTCAATTATGATATTGTAAATATGAGTTAAGAGAAGGGCAGCTAAGAGATAATATTTTGAGAGTAGATAGACACATTGGTTGAGAACTAATTGTAATTTCAGAAATAGAACAGTATGGTAGAAGGGAAAGAGCAAAAGATCCAAAGTCAGAGACCAGGGTTTGTATCTTGGCTCTATCAATAATTAGTCATGTGACCTCAGGCAGAATAAATGACTTCCATTTTTATTTGTAAAATGAGATAATACCTATTGTGCCCATCCTGCAAGAATACAATAAGGATCAATTGAAATAAGTTATAAGTGAAAGGATTGATAGCTAAATTTTCTTGATATTACATACATTTGGAGACATTATCACAGTATTAAATGCATCTTGGAATATTTTATTTTAGGCAAGGTTTTAGTTATTTGATATTTTAACTTTAATTTCTTCAGCACAAAACAGATTCTAGCCAATCTTATGAATTAGAACTGATTGATAAAGAGACTGAGTGGATACCATGCAACTACCACAATGGATGGGCATAAAGTTAAGTCTATTTTATCAAGAACACAGGGGTAACCAGATGGAGAGAAACTTGACTGTAGGAAACATATCAGACTTGGGTCATTGTCTTTGTATACTCAGTATCTGAGTGTTCTTCAACAAGTCACTTAGCTTATCTGTACCTCAGTTTCATAATCTAAAGTGAAAAGTTTTTATTAATTTATGGTTCCTTTTTAAGTTAGAATACACTTATAATATTTGTTAAATAGTTGTACCTTCTTATTAAGAATAATTTTGCAACTCAGCTCTATTTTTATTTCTCTATTTACTGTCCTTTCTGATATTTACTAGGAAACTTCTTTCCCCTAATGCCATTTAGCCATGGGAAAGAAGGTTTTTGTGTTTGTTTTAGGAAATGAGAGCAGAACAAGGATTTCCTTGCCTTTATATAAGTACATTAGATGGTGTTCATGGTCCTTATTTTAAAAGTGATAGTTCTGTAATACTAAATAGCCAAATTAATCCTGAAAAAGAAGAACAAAGTTGGAGGCCACATACTTCCTGATTTCAAAACATACTATAAAGCAAAAATAATCCAGATGGTGTGATACTGGCATAGAGACAAATATATGGATCAATAGAACAGAAAAGAGAGCCCAGAAATATAACCTTGCATTTATGGCCAGTCCTAAGATTCCCAATGTGAAAAGGACAATCTCTTCAACATATGGTGGTGAGAAAACTGGATATCCACATGCAAATGAATGAAGTTGGAACTTTACAATGTACAGAAAAATTAACTTAAAATGAATTGAAAACATAATTAAGACCTAAAACTATAAAACTCACAGAAGAAAACATGGAGAAAAAATATCGGGACTTGAATTTGGCAATGATTTATTATATATGTTACTAAAAGCATAGGTCACAAAGCAAAAATAAACAAATGGGACCTAAAGACTTCTATACATCAAGGAAAACAATCAAGAGTGAAAAGACACCAATAGAATTAGAGAAAATATTTGCAAATCACATATCTGATAAGTGGTTAATATCCAGAGTATATAAAGAACTCCTTCAGCTCAAAAACAAAAAAAAAAACCAAATAATCCAATTAAAAATGAGTAAAGGACTTGAATAGAGAATTCTCAAACAAAGATATACAAGTGGTCAACACACCTATGAAAAGATACTTGCTATCACAAATCATGAGAGAAATGTCAATCAAAACCATAGTGAGATATTATCTCACATCCATTATCATGCCTACTATCAAAAGAACAAAAAATAATAAGTGTTGGCAAGGATATAGAGAAATTTAAACCCTTGTACACTATTGGTGGGAATGTAAAATGGCATAGCCATTATGGAAAAGAGCATAGAAATGCCTAAAAAAATTAAAAATGGAATTACCATATACTATGGTATTTCCACTTTGGGGTATACATTCAAAATAATTCAAAGCAGAGTCTTGATGAGATCTTTGCATACCCTTGTTCATTCAGAATTATTCACAATAGCCAAGAGATGGAAGTAACCCAAATGTCCATCAATAGATGAATGGATACAAACAATGATATATTATGTAGCCTTAGAAAAAAAGGAAATCCTGTTACATGCTACAACATGAATGAACATTGAAATATTATGCTAAGCAAAATAAGCCAGTTTCAAAAGTACAAATACTGTGTGATTCCACTCATATGAAGTATCTAAAGTAGTCAAATTCATAAAAACAGAAAGTAGCAAGGTAGTTACTTAGGTAAAATGAGATGAGGTGGGGGAAACTAGTGTTTATCACTTATAGAGTTTCAGTTTTTCAAGATGAAAACCTGATCTACAACAATGTAAATATATTTAACACTACCAAACTCTGTACTTGAAAATTGTTAAGACTGTAAGTTTAATGTTATATGGTTCTTACTACAATAATAATAAAAGAGAAAGTGATGTTATGAGCTAATCTTCCTGTAGAACCAAGTTTGAAAATATCATAGAATCAGAGGATTAAAGGTAATTTTAATGGTAATCCAGAGCAATGACTCTTCTTCATTTTAAATTTCCTCTACTGTTGCCCTGCCAAAGTGGAATCTATCATCTGCTGGGAAGCCTCTATTATAGGATATTTATCACTTTCCAAGGTAGCTCATTTCATCTAGGCAAGTTTGAATATTATAGTCTTTTTTTAAACTAAACCCCATGATACTCAAACTGCTTTAGCATTGGATATCTTTTTTTTTTTTTGGAGATAGAGTCTTGCTCTGTTGCCCCAGTTAGAGTACAGTGGCATCAACCTAGCTCGCTACAACCTCAAAATCCTGGGCTCCAGTGATCTTCCTGCCTCAGCCTCTTAAGTGGCTGGAATTACAGGCATGCACACCATCATGCCTGGATAATTTTTCTATATTTTTGTAGAGATGGGGTCTCACTCTCGCTCAGGCTCATCTCTAACTCCTGAGCTAAAGTGATCCCCTTACTTCAGCTTCCCAGAGTGCTAGGATTACAGCTTGAGCTACCACACTTGGCCTATTTTCTATTTTCTACTATCAGGGAAGTATGGTAGCAAACTTCTAAGTACCTGAAATTAATGGGGGAATAATCTTTTTAATGGAATACTGTGGTCAAATCTGGCTGATTTGATTTACTGCTAATAATTTAAAACATAGAATGTAATAACTCCTCATTTCAAGGTTGATGGAGATATTGTGCTTTATCTTTGAGTGTCTTGTAGTGCCTCAGGGTCAATGTTCTGCCTATTAAAGAGCAATGATTGGACTGTTTATTAGCATTGAAGATCCCAGATTTGTGTTACCACATTTATAAAGCTATTTTAAACTAATCAGTCAAAATATCAATATATTTGTTTACTAG